AGTCGCCTACTCCACTTTGTCTGAAGCTCTGGCTGGCTCTGGATAAAGCGTAACACCCATTTCTTGCCTATAGGTTGTGGAGGTGGATCTTAGCCACGCGCAGCGAGTAACGCGTCTGCCATTCGTCGCACGTCAATGATATGGGGTGGAAAGCCTCGTCAGTCTAGCTCTAGAATCCACTAAATAAGAGACTGCTCCTCGACAGGTGATAGCTTACGCCTAGTAGACGGAACCTCTGATCGTGGCTGGATACCGCGGAGGCGTGTCTAGAGCGTCGATTTTGGCACGTCGTACGCTTTCGCGAGAGAGTAGATAGATTGTTTTAGATTATTATAATAGGACGCCATAGCAAGACTTATTCTACCTTCACGAGAAGTCTGTATAGAGCGTTGTTGTCGCGGCATTGTGGTGGTGGTGTAGAGCGTCGCGTTAAGTTTGGTGGGGCGGCCAGCTTACTATTCCGGCCAGCTTACTGATCCCGCACGTTAGACTTTCAACGTTACTTCAGCACGCGCAATCCGCTGGACCCCTTAGCGCCTTTCAAGCCACACACACACACAAGATGACCTTGCGCAAGGGATGCGGGGGAACCGGGCACAAACAACCGTTCGTTACAAGCCGTTCTAGCCGTTTACTCCCTGAAGTTGGCGCAATGTTTTTTCTCTTCTCCCCCTCCCTCAGGGCAAGAAAAACGTCCTATTCCGCGCATATGCGTATCACAAACGCTTAAATTTTGTGTAGGGGTCCCCTCCCCATCTCGCCCTCCCTTGCCTCTTCTCAGCTGTGGTTTACCCGGTTGGAAACTTTGAACCAGCTCGAACCCTTGCCACACGGCATGCCCGCGAGAATCGCCATGTTTTACATGTATACACTTTTGTGTTTTCGTCTAATAAGACCTTTTCCCTCGTGTACTAAGATTTAGACCCTGTGTTTATCACTTTTTTCCCTTTTCTCCGACCCGACCGGGCGGCGGCGGGGAGGGGGAAGGAGAGAGGAATGCTAACTAAACAACCTTTCATAACTATCGTATTCTCTGCATACTCATGCACATAGCGTGGATAGGGCGTGTGCAAATAAACACCCACTGCCCGCATCACATTCCTCACTTGGAAACTGATAATCGCCACCCCTCTTTCTCTCTCCCATCTCTCCCCCTCTCCCCCCCACGCTAAAATGCCTTAGCTCTGGATGATCTCACGAGGTGGGAAAGTATATTACGCATTCCGCAATCTTAAATCGCTGACAACTTATCCGAGATTTTACACTAGAACATGCGTTCGCTCTCTTCCGCTCTGACACTTTTTCTCTCGCTCCTCGTATCCACCGTATAGTATGCTGCCTCGACTCAGTGCCCCAGTGGCGATGATCTCTGCCATGTGGCTCTTATCCCCGAGATGACTCATAAACGATCGTCTTTCTACCTTCCTTTCTTTCTATTCATTGTTGCTACGGGGATTGTTAACTACATTTTTTCTTTGGATGCGGAGTATGCCGTTGACATGTACCAAGTTTCTTCAAGCACGATAGCAAGAACCAAACAATACAAATTTCTTTTTTTCTCTCTTGTTGTTATATCCCTTTTTTGCTTTTTTTATGGACTACCACATGGTGTACCTGCGCATTTCTGGCGTCATTGTTCCCACTGAAAAATAAAATAAAAATCTCGGACACGCCTTTGTTCAGCATTGGCTTAGCTAGCTGGGCTGAGCTAAGGTAGGTTAATGGTCTGAACTACTTGGTCTACTTTATAGCTGATACCCTTTTTCTGAGCTTGATTGGCTTAGCTGGTGTGTTGGTTTGAACTGGAGGGCTTAGCTGGGCTGGTGGTTTTCTTTTAGTTTCCCTCTTAACTGGACCGGGCTGGCTGAGCTAGCTAGCAAACCAAAGTTTAATTTCCAGCAAGGTAAGAAAACGCGAGGGATGTCTCTCTCTGTCTGTCTCTGTCTCGAGCGAGCAAGCACGCTTTTCCTATTTTGGGGGGTGTTTGGAGGGCACAGCTCTCGTACCGTGGTTACAGTTAGGGACAATTTTTCCCCCACACATTCCCCGGGATTCCTGCAAATGGTTGGGAAGTGTACTCCGCGGAGGGGAGGAAAGTTTCAGGTGGTGGGCTAGAGATTTTTCTGGTTGGTTGATCTGGTTTGGTTTGGTGATGTTAGTGCCTGCATGTTGCTGCCCAGGGAGCGCGTACGGATGGGGCGATATTGACTTGGGGATCGAGGAGGTATTGCAAATATTCGGGATAGAAGTGTGGGTGATTTCAGTTTTTCAGTTTGCTTTTTCCCTGACCTGTAGGTTTGGGTCTCGGACGCTCCGGGAATATGATATTCGCACTTTCTCGCCTTTCTCCGTTACGTGGATTAAGTATGTATTCCTTTGTATTCAAACTAGTGACTCTATTTTTTTGTTGCCTTTGTTACAGCTGAGTCCAGAACTTGAGTATAGTCGGAAACAATAGTCATGATTCACTCTATGCAAAACATCGTCTGTAAGGAAGAAAAAGAAATACCCACTAGAAAGTAGTGTTTTCACGTGTCCTTGTCGCACTATTTGGTCTAGCAATTATTTGTTACAAGTAACAAGAAGGATTCTCTCCTTGACAAGAGACGAGAAGGCTGAGGACCTATAGACGTCTACGTCAGAAGATAATGATCATCGCGTGGTTCGAGGTCACGTGATGCTACATTCCGCCAAGGCTGGCCATCCGGGATGGCAGTGCATATAGGGATGGCAGGATTGAAAGCAATGAGGACATAAGGATGGATGGATTTCATTATTACTCTCGTTGTGGTCAACTCAAATTGTACTTTCTTACTAGTTACTTTACTTAACAAGATTGTTACCTGTTAGTCTATCGAATACTAGATTAGGGATTGTCAAACTCCTCCACTGTATCGTCAGACAACTACCTCACGGAAGCTTTTCACCTAATCTTGCTCGCCCTAACCCGGACCGAGCCAAGAGAAGTATCAGCTCCCAACCCCGTGTAACATTACTTCGTAGAGAAATAAAAGAAATGCGCAGTTGAAGTGAAACGGCACATATGCACATGTTGATTACGGGATGTAAAAGCGCTTGAGTCCTTTTATTTGTCCTGCATGCGGACGACGGTTAGATATCATGGTACGTGGGATGGGTTCAATGACGTGATGATGGTGGATATAAGGAAAGGAGAGGTGGAGCATATAAACTATTTGTGTGCGTAGGGAACATACTAGACCAGATTGCCGAATCATCTTTTAAAGGCATCGATATTGTCTCTATACTAGACCTGCAACTATCTCCGGTACAGTTCTACAGCAAATTAGGATATATTGTTTATTTTTGTTCAAAAGAACATATGCCACGTATCATGGCAAACATTGTGTCGTACAGACCGAACTCGCCTACGAGCATTTCATGTGCATACATCTGATACAAACGCCATTGCCTATCGGTATCACAATCCCATAAACGCCCTTTTTCCCTTGCCTCAAACATCGGCATGTGCTTGCAGATCCCAACCCGACTCATTAACCAGCAGTCCTCGGCTTGGCCTTGGCCTCCTTTTTCGCCTTTGCAGTCTCCTTTTGCTTCTTCTTCTTGAGCTCGAGTTTCTCATCGGCTTTGCGCTTCAACGTAGCCTTCTCCTCTGCAGTCTTTTCAATCGGCTTGAAGAAGCCCTCCAGCCTACTCTGCTGCGCTGTCTTCATATTCTTTTGCAGCTTGGCTGCTCCATTCCGTACTCTGTCCTCGTTGAAATGTTTCTCTTCTACCAAAAACTTGACCAGTCCCTCCACATCTGGTGCTTCCCACTTGAAGTCACATTCTGGAGCGTCGGCAGGGAGCACGTCGGGCTCGAGGAAGAGAAGTCGCGCATCAGCAAACGGCCAGTCGTCGGGAATGGTGAGTTTCTTGGAAGATTGTGATTTGATGTGCTCGACTACGCCCTCGAGATCCTTGTGCTCACGGATGAGCTTGAGAGCAGTGCTGGGACCAATGCCCTTGATGGGGTCGAGGTAATCGCAGCCGAGGAGGATACACAGGTCGATAAACTGGAAGCTGTGAGTATAAAACCATCTGATATGATGTAACCTGTTGTACCTGCTTCTGGTCCATTTCCAGGCCCTCAAGCACCTTGTCTAGATGGATTTCTAGAATAGGCTCCTTGCGCTGCTCGCTGAAGGTCAAGTGTCGTAGCAGAATTGGCGATGCGAAAGTCAATGTGTCCATATCCTCTGATGCAGCGGCATACACCTTTCCTCCCTTGGCCAGCGTAGCACATTGTGCCTCGGCCTCGGTTGGCGCAACAATGTACGGGATGCCCATGAGCTTGAGCAACTGTTGACACTCCGCGTTATGTTCTTTTGTCACCCTCACTGTTCGTCGCGAAAACTTCTCGACATCCTCAGCCGTGCCCGTCTCCTTTGCTTCCTCTGCTGCAGCCTGTGCTTCAGTCTTGCGCTGGAATCGCTTTGCAAGCTCGCCGGATTTGAGCTTGGGTGGAGCACCGTCAAAGACGTAAAGGGGTTTGATGCCGTTGTCGACCATACGCATTGTGCGGTAGAACAGACCCATGAGATGTGATGTGGTCTCGCCCGTTTCGCTCATGAGTTGCTGGCCATCGGAGCGGACTGCGATAAGAAAACTGTAGATGCTCATAGATCTACACACTGTCAGGTTTCGTAAGTCATGGTATGTTTGCATCGACGTACGCATCCTGGCCAAATTAGTGACTGATATGATACAAAATGGTTATCTTGGACGTACTATGGCGACCTTACGACCAAACTGGTTCTTGATCTCGCCTTTCTTGACTGCCTCTGGTGTATGCTCTTCGATGAGCTGGTAGAGGTGTTTAATACCCATTGCGGCTGAGTGTAGTGTGTATTTTTTCGGAGGTGTTGGTTTTGTGGTATTCAACCGACGATGTTGAGTGTGAAAGCGTAGGCAATTGCACGGAGGCTGGAAGGTGACGCAGACGATCGTCACGTCGCGTCCGCGTCCTATGGCGCGCAATCACGGTGAGAATTGCTTGGCGTGATTACCCCACATATTGCTTGTAATCGCTTATGGAGGCCTTGTGAACTGCATGTGGCACATGGGTATTCTGCACGACATTTGAAACATTAGCAGGGACCTGGACAATCAAATGTCCATGCCCACATGCTTGACGGGATGATGCGTGGTCTCTTGCCACTGCGGAGTGCTTCCGAACCGCGGTTATGGAGTTTCCGAGGCGGATCTAAGCCGACGACGGATAACTTCTCCTCTCCGGATATAACAATTCCTTTTTCTTTCTAGATCCTTACCCGACTGTCATACATCATCCCAAAATGCTCCGCCCAGTATATAGACATGCCTCCAGGCAATTGCGCACCCCGGCCCCGATCGCAGCTATCAGGAAGCGAAATCTACATGCTCCCGTGGCCTTTGACTGGCAGGATCCACTCAAGGCAAACGACCTATTGACCGAAGAAGAGCAAGCCATTTCCGAGACTGCGGAGTCATATTGCCAGGAGCGCATGCTCCCAAGAGTGCTAGGTACATGAGATGCTCAACTTACCCGTACACTTGGCTAACACACTCTTCAGAGGCATACCGCAATGAAGACTTTGACAGGAAAATCATTCAAGAGATGGGCGAGCTCGGCCTTCTTGGTGCAACTATCAAAGGCTATGAGTGTGCCGGCGTCAGCAGTGTGGCCGGTGGTCTGATCACCAGAGCAGTCGAAAGGGTTGACTCAGGGTACCGTTCGGGTTACTCTGTCCAGAGCTCGCTTGCTATGGGTGGCATTGAAGAGTTTGGGTCTGAAGAACTCAAAGAACGTCTCCTACCAAAGATGGCAAAGGGTCAATTGCTGGGTTGCTTTGGTCTTACTGAGCCTAATCACGGATCAGACCCTGGGTCCATGGAGACGATTGCAAAGGAGCACCCGTCAAAGAAAGGCTACTACTCGCTATCCGGTTCAAAGACGTGGATTACAAACTCGCCCATTGCCGATGTCCTGCTCGTGTGGGCAAAACTAGAAAGCACAGGCAAGATCCGGGGGTTTGTCATTGAGCGCGACCAGTGTCCACCAGGTACTCTTGAAACCCCACCAATCAAGAATAAGAACGGACTGCGAGCATCCATCACTGGCATGATTCAGCTTGATGAATGCCCAGTTCCCGAGGCAAACATGTTTCCAGAGGTGGAGGGGCTGAAAGGGCCCTTTAGCTGCCTAAACTCGGCAAGATATGGTATCGCGTGGGGTACTATGGGTGCCTTGGAAGACTGCATCGCTAGAGCACGCACATATGCACTAGAGAGGAAGCAATTCAAGAACAACCCAATTGCCAAATACCAGCTTGTGCAGAAGAAGTTAGCTGATGCTACGACCGATGCTGCGTATGGAATTCTCGCGGCTCATCAGGTTGGACGACTCAAGGATGAGGGCAAGGCTGCACCCGAGATGATTTCCATGATTAAGAGACAGAACTGCGATCGTGCCTTGGTCAACGCTCGGACGTAAGTTATAACAAGCATGTGTGTGCACAGCACAAGTTGACCATGACTAGACTACAGGAGATTTTTGGCGGAAACGCAGTCTCAGACGAATACGGCATCGGACGGCACGTTGCCAATCTGTTCGTGACGCAGACGTATGAAGGACAGAGCGATATCCACTGTAAGTGTCCATGATGAAGCTGCTGGGATATTGGCTGACATTGCGTAGCGTTGATTCTAGGTCGAGCAATTACCGGCCTGCAGGCGTTCTGTTGATTAGGGTATCTTATTGTAAATCATCATGCTTGGCTTGCTTTGACGTTGCTGCACGACCAAAATGTTTACGCAGAGGTATCATCCAACTACATGTAGCATAGCGTATAGGGAAATGGTGTTTGTTTGGAGGTATGCAGTAGTAGTAGTAGAGGCATGCCAGACCCTGAGGCGACGGACGCTCGCCTCGAACGCAGCAAGTATCATATCCTGACTCCTTGTGGCCACAGCGCAGGTCGCCACTACGACGACCGTTTGACGAGTGAGTGATGCTATTGGATAGTGGTGGGTGAGTGAAGAGGAAGAGCCGTGAATGTCAGCTGTGATGCATCTTCTGCAGCCTTCGATAGGTTGCCACCCAAAAGTGGCTTCTGCGCAGTCATGGTTCGGTGAATTTTGTGGGCAGTGACAGTTGGGCGGCTGGGCTTGTCTCGCCTCCTGCGGTTGGTCCCGACACATGATAAATGCGACCGCCCCTGCTCAGCCCAGTCACATTTCCTCCACACTCACCTTTGCCGTTTGTCTTTTACTTGTATACGTGAAAAGGCACAGGTACGTCAAGTTGCGTGGCGGAGGCGCGCTCGCCGCTGAGACGCCACACTTGCTTTCTTTGGACCCCCCGCTAACTAACCGCCTTGTCTGTGCAGACATCCCACTTCAACTCTTCAACACCACCGACTCTCTTTACCGCAACTACCGCGATACCGCTCGACCCACCCATACCACCCACACCGCCCACACACAGTAGCCATGGCTCTCAAGCGCATCAACAAGGAGCTCACAGATCTCGGTCGGTGCGTGGCATAGCCGCCCTTTCCCCCTCCCGGCACGAGGCTCGCACTTGGGCTCGCATGATGGCCGCCGGATTGCGGAGTGCTGTAGCAAACAAGACACAGTTTGCGTAGTCTCGCAGCCTCACAGCCTCACAGCCCGGCACAGATACAGTTGAGACGTTTGGCTAACATGGCACTCGTAGTGACCCTCCCTCCTCCTGTTCAGCTGGTCCTATCGGAGATGATCTGGTACGTCACTCTTTGCACACAACACCTGCGCAAGACGTTCTTGCCAACATGGCCGTGGGCAAGCAAACTGTGCTGGACACTAATATGCTGACTATCACTGCAGTTTCACTGGCAAGCAACCATCATGGGTCCCGTACGTCCGCCCCTTGATTCTGCCACTCCCTAAGGCCTTTTTAGCCCGGCACGGCATCCCCTAGCACATGCAGCAACTAACAGACGCAGGGTGACTCACCATATTCTGGCGGAGTCTTCTTCCTAGCGATCCATTTCCCGACCGACTACCCCTTCAAGCCCCCGAAGGTTAACTTCACCACCCGCATCTACCACCCCAACATCAACTCCAATGGCAGCATCTGTTTGGACATTCTGCGAGACCAGTGGAGCCCTGCTCTGACCATCTCAAAGGGTATGTTGTTGGAGGATGACGGCGTTTTGGACTAAGCCATTGCTGACATATCTGCCTAGTGCTGTTGAGTATCTGCTCGATGTTGACAGACCCGAACCCTGACGACCCGCTTGTTCCCGAGATTGCACATGTGTACAAGACTGACCGGTCTCGCTACGAATCGACGGCACGTGAGTGGACTAGGAAGTATGCCATCTAGAGAGATCGAGAGGAGAGTAGTAGAGTAGGAAAGGGAAGCAGGAGAGCATCTTTTTGTCAGGATCTGCTATGGATACAACGAGTGTGAGGAAGGATGATCATCAAGAACACATACCTTTTACGGCATGGTGATTGAGGGGAGTTTTCTGTTCTACGACATGCATGCTGGATGGGTTTCATAGTACTTGCTATCAAGACGCTTAGCAGAACAGGTGCATTTCTCTTTGTGCTACATATGAGTGTTTATTTTTGATGTAACACGGGCAATGCTAACAGTGCAGGATGGGTTGTTTGATGCAAAAAGACGGTAGTATTGTTATATGGCAGGAATCTGTTGCTCTTTTTGGAAAGGCTTAGCAGACTCGACACTATGTATGCTGGCCTGTGAAGGGGCCATGGGTTTGTAGTCTGACTCGACCTTTTTGTCTGCGTCTCTGATTGCCTTTGCCTTTGCAGCCAGAGTCTTTTGTTCCTCGAGCTGTAGGCGCCTGCCGTAATCCTGCAGCTTCTCGCGGGGCTTGTAGTTGAGCATGTAGGAAGGGCCGACGAGCGGGCCGAGCAGGGATGGTCGCGTGTTCTTCTTGATGTCATCGACCAGCTGGCTATGCAGGTGGGCAAATGTTGCTTGGACGTGCTTGATGGCTATGCCTTTCCGGCCGAGGTCGTTTGTCTCATCGGCCGGGTCGCGCAGACAGAGCATGTATGGGGGCAGGGGTTTCATTGTTCCGTTCTAATGGGCACGCACATTGTCAGCAGGTCCGAACCCGGATGCCAGGGTATGTAATAGCGGGGTGGGGGAGGGGCCTTCATCTTACATCGAGTTTTTCTTTGACTGGTTTGGTGACGACGGGATGTTGCGTCTTGTCGAATAACTCTACGGGGTCAATCGAGATACCGTATTTCGTAGTGTCGAAGTCGCGGTAGAAACGGAGGAAATTGAGGAGTGCACCAGCTGCGTCTTGTCGTTCGTGGGGTGCATGTTTGATGCTGGCCACTAACATCATGAAGATGGAGTATGAACCGAAGCCACCCCGAAAGACGTCTGATAAGCCGCGGATACTGAAGATGGTCTTGACTACGTAGTACAATCTGCACAGGTAGGGAATCTCGTCCATGTAATGCTTCATCATGGCGGTTGACATTGATGTGTCGTTGGACAAGACAATCTGGACGTCCAGGCCCGAGTTGCAGTCTTGGGCGGTGATGAGGGGGTAGCGGGCGTGACGGAGAGTAGATAAAAAGTATGACTTGTGCGTTTTAAAAATACGGTGAAACAGGTTAAGAAGAACTTTGAGTCTTCTAGCTTGCTCATTCTTTGCTGGTGGTAGTCTGTCTATGGCAGGATCGGCGACCCACGACGGTTGCATAAGACGAAAGTCAATGTCTGAGGTAGCAAAAGCTACACCGTTGCGTTCCGAGCCGAAGACTTGTACATCGTATTTTGGCGAGACCTGTTTTACATGGTTGCGCACTTGCTGGATGACGTGTTGCCTGGCTATCCGCTCATAGTCTTTGGGCATGGCGTATTTGTAGAATCTTTCGATTTCCTTGTCTAGCCTGGAGGATCTTGTCAGAGGGATGATTTAGCATTATAGGTTGAGGCTACACCAACAAATCCATGGCCGATTTGTCCCGCGCAGTCTTATCCAGACACCACGGCAACGAACTCTCTTTGATAGCTATTGTGCTGACCATGGGCTGGACAACAACGCCCTTGTATTCCTTTGACTGTGCAAACGCCTCTCTTGCTGTAGCCAACAGCTTCTCGGGCCCAGTGAGCGACTCTTCCTGGCGGGTGTGCTTTGCTACTTTGTTCTTGGCAATTGATACCTGGGCCTTTTCTGGCAGCCATCGTCCTTTGACTGTGGTCATCTTCCTTACGTGGGGTGCCGACCCTGCGCTGGGCTTTTCTATTGTTTGCTGCGCCTCCGTCTCCGACTGCTGGGCGCCATTGTCCTCTTGGACATTTGCAACCACCTCAGTGGTAGTTGGACCGTTGTCGAGGACATGTTGCGCGGGTGCGGTCGCAGTCGAGGAAAAACGCTGTGGTAGGTGGGGACCGACAAAATGTTCCCACAGGGCAATTGTCGGGGTGAAGCGGTTATGGGCGCGGCATATCAGGTGTGCGCGCGAGTGCTGCATAGGGAGACAGGCAGCGGGGGCAGTGGGCGACAGCAAGGGAACGATAGCGGTAGGTGTGCAGTGGGTGGGTGAATTGAAGAACGATATGCACAACTGCTGACGCTGCCAGGGCACTAGTCCTGTTTGGGCGGACAGGCACTCCCGCGGCATCGAGTGTGGCTGCTGGGGCTGCTGGGGCGGTTGTGCTGGGGGGGGGGGCATGCTGGCCATTGCCGGCCCAACATTGGCTGCATCTGGCTGCGACGTTTGTATCGCAAAGTCGCCAGAATAGCATCCACATAGTATTCCTACACCCACCCTAGTCCCAGCCTCGTCCACGCCGCTCCACCGGCTGCACATGTCAAGGCCCACCTGCGCATTGCCATATGAAAATGGCCTGACATCATGTTGACCGGCCTAGCAAACCTTTGCAGAGCGGTCAAGCTGGCAGCGCGCGTGTCAATGTCGAGGCTCGACCATGATGGGAATGGGAATGCAGCAGCCCAGCAGCCACTGGGTGCCCTGGTCCCCCGGCTCTAACGTCACAGCCGTGGTTGGTGGGGCATGAACCATCCCACCGCCAGCCAGCTTTTCTCCCCCCATTGCCCTCGTCGGGCTTCTGTGAGCTTCTCAACACATCTGCCACCTCTGTTGACTCCCTCTCCTCATCCCAGAGCCTCTTGTTTGCCCTGCTGTGACTTGCACAATCTGCCCCGCGCCAGTGTCATAGTCCTTGGTACGTCCCCACTACCGCGCGCCTCCCTCTCTCCCTCCGTCATCTCTCCCCTACCACCACTACAGATAGCCACCAAAGTGAGGTTTTGTCTTCTGCAGCGTGCCTCGTGTTGTCTGTCCCGTCAACCGTCCTCTCCTCTCTGCCAATAACCCATACAACCTCAAATCACCCAACCGCAATCCTTCCGGCCTTACCAGCCCTCGTAGCTTATCGATATCTAACCCTTTGATATAGTGCAACAGGTACTCAGCCTACAATCGCCATGAGCGCCCCTACAGATACCGCAGATGGCAAGCCTGAGCGACCTCCAATCGCTTCCCAACAAAGCACTCACCCCGCACTCCATCCCGACATCACCAATGTACCCGTCACCCCCGGCGTCCACCTCTCTGGCAAGACCGCCTACTTTGACGAGTCCGCCGACAAGAAAGAGAACAGCAGCCTGCCCTTTAACCCCGAGACGGCCACGCCCGGGCCCTCGTGGAGCGCAAACTCATACTTCTCCAACCAGCAAAGAGCCGACGGTGCGGGGCCCCAGGCAGAGGAGGCAGCAGGCGCGCAAACCGGGGAAGAAGTCAAGAGCAAGCTGAGCGATACCCCTGGCTCGGCCCCCAAGCACAATCTGGCAGACGTGGATCCGCGTGCTGCGCATCCTGGCCTCAATCTCAGCGGTCGTGTCATCAGTGCGACTTTTGCCATACCCTACACTATCGGCTACTCTCCAGGCAACGACTGGGAGCTCAAGCCACGACGAGGAACCTCTGCTCTTTTTGATTCATTCTCATATCTTGCTTCCACCTCATCGCCTTGGAACCACACGCTTGTCGGATGGACAGGAGAGATCTCGCATGCCACGTCGGCCGCCGCCACGGCTGCGCAGATGCCTACGAATAAGGCTGCCGCGCCCATTCCCGTTGACCCCAAGAATCCGAACCAGACAACCCAAGTCTCGAACGGCTTTCGAATCGGCTCCGACGACCGAGGGCGACTGGAAAAGCAGCTCGAGCGCGACCACGGCGGCAAGATTGTGCCAGTGTGGCTTGTCGATGAAGTAGATGATGGCAAGGATGAATACATTCTCAAGAGCCAAAGCCACTGGAGGACCTATGCTGAGCACGAGCTCTACACACTATTCCATTACAAGCAGAACGAGCCAGCCGACGGGCGTGCAGCGCGGAAATCATGGGCCGACTACTACCGCATGAACAGGCTGTTTGCAGACCGAATCCTTGAAATCTACAGTCCAGGAGACATTGTCATGGTACATGACTTTTATCTCATGCTTCTGCCAAGTTTGCTCCGCCAACGTCTGCCAAACATCTACATTGGCTTCTATCTTCACATTCCTTTCCCCAGTAGCGAGTTCTACCGCTGTCTTAGTAGGCGCAAAGAGGTTCTAGAAGGTGTGCTAGGCGCCAATATGATTGGTTTCCAGTCGTACAGCTACGCACGGCACTTCTCCTCTTGCTGCACTAGGATTCTAGGCTTTGATTCATCATCCGAGGGCGTTGATGCCTATGGCGCTCACGTAGCCGTAGACGTCTTTCCTATTGGCATCAATGCGGTTTCGACGCAACGGCAAGCATTCGATGATCCAGAAATTGACGAAAAGGTCAAGGGCATTAGGGAAATGTATGCGGGCAAGAAGCTCATTGTCGGCCGCGACAGGCTGGATGCGGTCCGTGGAGTGGTGCAAAAGCTCCAGGCTTTCCAACTCTTCCTGGAGAAGTACCCAGAGTGGCAGGGCAAAGTGGTTCTTATCCAGGTCACTAGTCCCAGCGGTCTCCACACGGACAAGAGCGACGGTGCACAAGAAAAGGTCGTCAACAAGATTTCGGATTTGGCAGCCAAGATCAACGGCACGTACGGTACTCTGGACTTTACGCCTGTCCGTCACTTCCCGCAGTACCTTTCTCGTGAGGAGTACTTTGCTCTGCTCCGAATCGCGGACATTGGTCTCATTACCAGTGTACGTGACGGTATGAACACGACAAGCATGGAGTACATCATCTGTCAAAAGGACAACCACGGTCCGCTTATCCTATCCGAATTCTCCGGAACGTCAAGCTCCCTCGGTGGTGCAAGCCACATCAATCCGTGGGACATGAGCGGAGTAGCCGATGCCATCAATAAAGCGCTCAAGCAGGATGAAGCAGAGCGTGCACAGACACATGCACAACTTTACAAGCACGTTGTAGAGAACAATGTTCAGGCGTGGACCAATAACTACTTGAAGAGACTGATGACGAACCTATCGTCGTTTGACCAGACTTTTGCTACCCCAGCGCTGGACCGGGCTAAGCTTCTGTTCCAGTACCGGCAGGCAAAGAAGCGATTATTCATGTTCGACTACGATGGCACTCTGACACCCATTGTCAAGGACCCACAAGCAGCTATCCCATCTGACCGCGTCATCCGAACTCTGAAGACGCTGGCAGCCGACCCTACCAATGCTGTCTGGATCATCAGTGGCAGAGACCAGGCGTTCTTGGACGAGTGGATGGGCCACATTCCTGAGCTTGGTCTCAGTGCTGAGCACGGTAGCTTCATGCGGCCTCCACGGTGTCAGGAGTGGGAGAACCTAGCCGAGACGACGGATATGACTTGGCAAACGGAGGTCCTCGACATCTTCCAGCACTACACAGAGAGAACACAGGGTAAGGTCGCTTTTGTGCATGATGGGACCATGTTTTACTGACCGAGTCGACAGGTTCGTTTGTGGAGCGTAAGAAGATTGCACTGACCTGGCACTATCGCCGGGCCGACCCCGAGTACGGTGCATTCCAGGCACGTGAATGCCAAAAGCATTTGGAGAGGACCGTGGCCAAGAAGTACGAGGTCGAGGTGATGACGGGCAAAGCCAACCTCGAGGTTCGTCCAAGATTTGTCAATAAGGGAGAGATTGCCAAGAGGCTCGTCGAGGAGTATGGTGAAGGGCCCGGGAAAGCGCCCGAGTTTGTTCTCTGCATGGGCGATGATTTCACAGATGAAGGTTTGTCTTGTGCCCCTAATGGCATTGCTCATTTGCTGACCATGGTGGCAGACATGTTCCGATCGCTGCGCCAGTCGAAGCTGCCCACGGATCATGTGTTTTCAGTGACTGTTGGAGCGAGTTCGAAGCAGACTCTGGCGAGCTGGCATCTTGTTGAGCCGTCTGATGTGATTTCTGTAATTTCGCTGCTCAATGGCTCAGCGGATGCAGGCAATGTTGGGGCTGTGGCGATTGTGGATGGGTCAGTGCCCGAATCGCGTGTGGTGCCTTAGGGATGCTGTGCGTAATAAGGGGGTTTTGGCATTTTGTGGTGGAGCACGGAGCATGGGAGAAGATTAGACGTATATAAGAAATTTACAGCATGATGGTTGCGTGGCGTGTGGCTATGGCCCGCAGTAACAGCGAGGACAGCAACAGTGAGTCAAGAGGCGCATATTGTATGTATTGGCTTGACAGGCAAGTCTCTGGTTCGGGTGAAGAGGTTGCAGGCTGGACAAGGATGAGATGCCGTTGGGAGAGGCAACGAAGCGAGCCCCTTGGGACGAGCGTCGGCACTGAAGCCAAGCGAGTGGGTGGTGGCGGCATCGGTTGTGTCTGTGTCTGGAATCCCCCCCAGTCCTCCACGTGAAGGGGCCTGACTCGGCAGCCACCAACCAACCCTCTGTCCGGCCATGCGGGTGATGATCGTCCACTTATCCTCTCGTCCCGAAGAATTGCGCAACAGCTCATGTTCGCAGCCTGTCTCCGACTCCCTCTGCCGTGTCACGCAGGCACCGTCACTTGCCATGGCGAAAAAGACGGACGCTGCAACACGGCCTCTCGGCCACAGCGGCCCACGACTCACTAAGCTTCGACACCGGAACTCCTTCTGCTATAGGCTTGGTCTGTCTGCGTCCTTCGGCTTCACTAGCCCGTATTTATCAGACTTGGCCTTCGAGAACCGGCATTGCATGAAACTTGGAACGCCTAGTCCTCCTCCCGTGCCCCAACAACGGCACCTGAGCACTTGCGTCTGTTACCAGCCATTTCTCTCTCTTAAACCATATCGCCGGCCCTACCGCGCCCCGGATTTTGTTTGCTCGCTCTTCCACTTGACGCAATCCCACCCATTTTTTCCCCGGCAAATACACTCACCGGAAGTGCACCGTCGAAGCCGCCAACTGATTCGTCACCATCTTCCTACATACCCACATCACTCTGATACACCACCTGCATCATCCAAACAGGGACGCGGTCATCAAGTGGGTTCCGACATTTTATCCGTGCCACGTTTTGCACTACATCTTGCTCCTT